CCTCTATTTTCAGCTTTGTCTTTACTCTCCTGCCCTCCACCGGAGGGATGGAGCATGCACCCTGCAGAGCAGCCACATCTGGGTGCCCCCAAACTCCTCGGGGTCCGCCCTTGCCTCCTAATCCTGGTCGTAATCCCGGAAAGCGACATCCGGTGGCAAGTGCGAGTCCCCGGCAGAAGGTGCAAGGCCATCGGCGGAATGCGAACGGGTATTCGGGCAAACCCTTCTCTCTCATTAGAGGGTCATTAACCCTCTATTTAGCCGGCGATGGGGGCAGGAGAGGGCGCAGGAAGGAGCGGAGCTGACTGTATCTCCCCGGTCCTGGCTGCTGCCTCTCCTTGCTGTTCGGCTTCATGCAGGATCCGCTGCCGTGTAGCTACAACCCCCACAGCTGCTTTTTATTCCTGCAGACAAGGAGGGGGTGTGTTCCCGTCCCAGAGGACAGGTACCCCAAAAAACGTCTCTCTGGGAGCTAGCCCTGCTCCCTCCGTCTTCCACTGGGATGCCAGCGTCGGGAGGCTTTGGGATGTGTCGTTCAAGTCCGGGTGGAGGGCTGGGGGTAAGGTGGTGATGTTCTTTCAGCCCAGCTGGCTGAAAGTCAAGTTCAGTGCAGTGTGGCTGGGCAGCTTGGATGCTCTTGGGGGGATCATTTCAAATAAGTAATGGTGTGGCTGCATGAGATCAGGCACTGATGCAGGAGTGGAATGCAGATTGCTCTGCTGCTCTTCCCAGTTGTTTTGGGCTGTTTTTTTTTCCTCCCCTCAGCCTCTTTATCTTTCAATTGAAAACCAATTAAAGGTTTCCATATATCTGTTAGCATCCCTTTTTAAGTGGGGCCCTCTGATGCCTGCCGTATTGCCCTTTAGATGCCTCTTCCTTTTTTTGTTTTACGATTGTTGTATCAATATAATGCTTCCTTTCTTTCTCTGTCTCTATAGATACAGATATACAAGGCAAACTAAAGGTTTCAGCTGCTACTCAGCGTCTCCTCATTTCTCCCAGAGCCGTAACAGTGGTGCCCTTTCTCTTCTGTCTGCTTTTCCCTGCTTCTGGAGCAGCAGTTATGGGAGAAGCAGATGGCTACTGATTGGGTGAGCTTTGTGGCTTTAATACTGAATACTTTATGGAAAAGGATTTTATCATGCTTGGTTGGCCAGAGGAACAACGGGATGAGATTTATGACTAGAGAAAATAAATCTTTTTAAGTTTTAGGCTCCTTCACACACCCCACGCCAAGTTGCTATAGCAGAGCCGGAGCTGAAATCCTCTGCATCTTTCTTTTTACCTCCCTCCTTCCCTCCCCCTCTGTCTATCTGTCCTTTCACTGCTCTCCCACCCCCTCTGTGCCAGGCTTTAGCAAACCTCTGCAAACTTGGGGGACTGTCACTCACTGCAGATGCCTTCACAGCCCTGCAAGCTGCATGGGGAGAGAAAAGTCCATCCCCAGATGCAGATCATCCACCTGATGGGAATACGCTGGGCAAATCAGCTCCTGCCAAGGCCTGGCCACGTGTAACCTGGGATGTGACCACCTAGGGTCGTGACTGGGAGTTCTGAGTGACATCTTCATAGATGGGACAATACGGAGGCCATGTGGCCACCAAGAGGTGTCCAGGCTGGGGTGCTCACTGCAGAGCCTGGATCTCCCTAAGGGAGGGAGTCCAGCAATGCTCAACTCCACTGCACCCTACACGGGACAGCCCTGTGTGTCTGTCCCTGGTCACCCCTGTGGAGCCACACCTCCATGACATCGACACCGAAGCTGGAGGGTGACTAAGGACCATGCAGTGGGGGGCTCCAGCCCCAACACTGGACACTGGTGGTGGCACACGGACATAAAAGTCAAAGGGTGTACAGGAGGTAGATTTCAGCCCTACGGGAGTTCCCCACTTCTATTTCTCTCCCTTACAACCCACCACATCCTCTGCCAGGTTGTTTTTAAAGGCATTTTAAGGAAGCTAAAGCTAGGTGAAAACTTTCCAGGTTTTAAATCTCAGTGGCTACTATCAGGTCAAGTGAGGAGAAAAAAAAGCAACTGTGGTTGAGCAAATTGATTTTTGAGATAGTTAGATTTGGGGCTGTACATTAACTACTGGACTAACCACCCTGTATTATATTCAGTGGTCTGTTTTCTGGTCAGTGGTAAAAAAGTTCTTTGACCTTTGGGGAACATTCAAATTAATATTTCTACCTAGTCTCTGTGCTTGCTCAGAAAGAAGTCCAAGGGAAACTCAAGCACCATCAGGGGCTGAAGAAATAGCAGAGGTGCTTACGGCATTTCTGAGTCAGATAACACAGGTGGAGAAGAGATGGATGCTGAGTCCCACTGGGGCTGCCTGAGCCTCCATTTTGGGGCGACCCACAGCCAGTGCCTGGCAAAAAGGGCTTTATGGTTTTATGGTGGTGGCTTCACCTGGGAGTCCAGCAGCAGTGAGATGTATCTGAAGGGTCAATGGAAATAAGAAGGGACAGCGGCAGCAGGATGTTTAGGAGCTGAGCTGGAAACAAGGTAGGACAGACAGTGCCTGCTTGTCCCAGCCATGGCTAGGGCCTGCTGGTGGGAAAACATCTGATTGGTTGTGTGGCAGAGGAGTCCCAGCTGGATCCCCATGCTTGCTGTTCCAGTAGGAGAAAACCCTGCTTCTCCATGCTAAGGTTTGGGGTTCTGCAGCATGGCAGTGGTGCTGTGGACACGCAGGCACAGGACTGCTCAGTAACAGTTAAATGCAGGAAGGACGATTTGTCATTCAGCTGAGGTCCCAGTTTCTTTACCACTACAGAGGCCTAGCTGCCTGTTGATCTCAGGGGAGGGGAACCATTCTGCCTGCATTTCTTCAGACACCAGGGAAGCTTGTGGCTCCACATTTCCTGTTGCTTTTCCATTCCCTTCAGTGTGCTCCCCCGGAGGACCATGGACCAGCCCTGCCTATGGCAGCAGCAGGAAGAGAGGGGTGCAGGGCAGCTTTGCACATACGTCCCTTCATCCATTCCTCCTCCCTGTGGTCCTTGGCATCCCCTGGACAATCACGGCTGGGCTTGTGTGCTCCTGGTAACTTGGTGTTTCCTCAGCCATTTTATTTCACAGGTGACTTTAAGGTAGTCACCTGCGAGCTGATTCTAAGCTGTGTCTATGTGTCCTCAGAGGAGTAGCTATACATCTGCAGGCCTGGTTGCACGTCAGAACTTTGAGGCAGCTTTTCCCAAGGGATGCAGGAGTCTTTCTGAGCCTCACCTCGCTCCTTTCACCTTCACCTCGCTGGGTGAAATCCAGGCACGAAGGAGGAGGCGCAGGGAGGGTGTCCTAGCATCCTCAGGGAGACAGATCCACTATCTATCCACATAGTAACTCATCGCAGTACAAACTGGTGCTTCCTTCGGAGAGCTGAAGCGATCCTGGTGACCGATCATCACCACTCAGCCGGCCCATGGGGTGCCAGTCACCCTGCCCCTCTAGATAGGGGCAGACCCTGGGGCTGGATGCCCAGCAGCTCTGCAAGTGCGTAGGACCGCAGTTTGCCTGCCTGGCCCGATCTCAGCAGTTTCCCTGCTGCCGGGGACGCTCCTTCCCGGAGAGCCGGTTGTCGATGGGCGCCGTCGGGGAAGTTGGGCGGGGGGAGGTCGCCGCTGTGCTTGTGCGGGGCTTGAAGCAGTGGGGAACGGCGTGGGGCGGCTGGAGCTCCTGAGCCCAGGTCTCAGCTCTCCGCAAGAGGTTTATACATAACACGAGGATATAGAACGAGATATTCCGCGTGTGGTTTAGGGCGGCGGCAGGCAGTCTGAATACGGCCTCTGCGGGGCAATCAGAGACCTCGCCGGGCCGTGGGTCCTCCGTTCCACCCCCAAAATTCCGGTCCTGTCTCTCGGTAAGCCGGGGGAGAGGCTTTCTCTCCGAGCCGCCAGTACTTCACGGTGGCTTTTCTGCGCCGCGGGCACCGGGATCGGGCTCTGCCGGGGTCGGTCGGGGTTGAGGTGGCCACTTCGCGGCCGTGGCGCCCGGAAGCGTAAAATTCCAAGGAAAGAGCCTGCAAACATCGAAGTGTCGTTCTGCGAGGCTGGGGCGATGCGGCTGACGGAGGTTGGCTCGTACGGCGGCATTAGAGGCTGAAGAAATTCTCGGAAACGCCGCTACGGTCCTTTCCGGTACCGGGGAATTTCGGTTGTGGAGATAATGCCGAAGCAATTTCGAGGTAGTTTATGTACCGTAGTGGTCCCTTAAAATTCTCGCGAATAAAAATAATGCGTAGGTTTTCTTTCCTCCCCCCCCCCCCCCCCCCCCATTAATGACAGTCATTCGGACAATTTCTGTCACGCAGCGAGCCCTGCAGCATTAAAAAAAAATAATAATATAAGGGATGTGGGGGGACGACACCCAAACCAAACCAAAAAACAAACACCCCCCCCACACACACACAAAAAAAAGGGGGGGGGGGGAACTTTTAAGCAGGAATTAAGATCCAAATTTTTACAGACTCCCATCTTTTTAATGTTATTACAATCCCCGCTTTTAGCAGACGCTGTGTTTTGTCGAATTAATAAGATAAATGTTGAAAGCATATTATATGCAGTCTTTAATCCTAATGCAAGGAAAATCGTAATTATGTAGAGGATAAGTGAATTTAAAAGCCAAACATCAGCCTACTCCCTGATTGCAAACATTGTTCTCTGGAAAACGCTTTGTCTCTTCTTTTGTTTAATTTGGGGGGTGTGTGTTAAATTCTATTTTTAATATTATTTTTTAGCCTGCTTGGGGGGGCTTTGTGTGTGTGTGAAATGACGGCGACGAGGGAGCAACCAGTGAACGCTTCTCCGCGCGGTGAAACCCTCCTTTTTGCACGGAGCGTCCGCCGCTTACCGAACCTGCGTGCGTAGCCGCGGGCACCAAGAGCCCCGCGAGTGCGGGTAGTGCGATCCCCACACCCCGCGAAGGGGGAGCTCTGCCGTAACTGGGGCCGCCCCGTTAGCGGCTCCCCTGCTCCGCAACCGGCACTGCCACTCCCGCGACCCGCACGTCGGGCCTCCGCCGGGCGCCTTCCCTTGCGGTGCAAGGGCATCCCCGCCTGCCTTCACCACGGCGATGAAGGATCTTATTCGTGTATGTGAGAACTCGCCCGGCAGGTGACGGACGGGACAGAGTGGGGGAAGGCGACCGCCGGGAACCTGGTGCCGGGCAGAGCCGCCGTCGGACTCCTCCCGGCTCCCCGCCCCATACTCACTGCTGGGCCGGAGCGGCGGCCCCCAAACCCGCACGATGCCAGGGGAAACGCGGAGCGTGTGTATGGGCGCTCTCCGATGTGTCCCTCCACTATTCCCCTTTCCGTAGGTACCCGATGTCCAGGTGAGGGGCTGGCGGCGGGCAGGCAGTGAGCGGGCAGCCCCCGAAGGGGTTAAAAGGAGGGGACGTGGGCTGTCACGCGTCATTGGACAGATTATGTGCAGCAAACAAAAAGTGTGTGTCTGTGTGCCAGTCACTCACTGCATCGGGTCCATCTGCACCGCTCGCCTCCTCGGCCGCCTCCCCTCCCCGCCTCGCCCCCGCCGCCGCCCCGGCCATGGAGCTGCTCTGATACAATAGCGCCGGGAGGCAGCGGGGGCCGCAGCCCGGCTTTGTGCCACTTGTCGGGCGAGGATTATATTCCTTCTCTCCCTGGTGAGTACCGGCGGAGGGGCCCCAGCGCGACGCCGGCGAACAGCGGCGGCACCGGCGGAGGGAACAATGCCGGGACGCGGCGGCCGTGCCCGGGACGCCGTGCCCGGCAGCAGAGGCTCCGGGGAGCGGCCCCGGCGCCGCCCGGCCCTGACAAAGCGCGGCCGCGGGGCGACCAGGGAGATGCGGCATCGGGGGGAGCAGAGCGGGGCCCGGCGAGGGTGGGTGGAAAGTTTGGCGGGGGCAGCTCGCGGCCGTTTGTTTCGTTTGGCGAAATAATCCCTTTGGGAAAGGGATGCGCCGGGCAGCGCCGGACCGAGGACGGCGACAGGGGGAAGGCGAAAACGCCCTCCCCGCGGGGGCCGTTACCGGGAAAGTGGGGGGTGCGAAAGCCTCGGCCGCTCCGGGAGGCGAAGTTTCGGGGGGGATACCCTGTTGTCTCCCGAAAGCGGGGGAGAGCAGCGGCTCGCCGGGGCTGTGCCCGGTGCGAGCGGCTCCGGATGTTAAGTAGGAGCACGGAGAGGAAAGAGTATTTATTCCCGAGCGAGCCCGAACTAAACGATTTCAGTGGCAGATGGGGTGGAGGGGAGTCAGCCTCTCACTAACCGAGTCGGGAAGGGCGAGGGCTCTTTTCCCGGCCTCGGCCCCACGGAGCCCAGTAGCCGCCGTCCTGCTGCCCGCTCTCTGCCCGCATCCTGCCAACATCCTTCCCGCCTCGCCCTCGCCTGGATCCGTCCCCTCGTACAGCTCGGGAGCCGGGGCTCACCCTCCTCCATAAATAAGCGTGTCGAGGTAAAAAAATAATTACCTCTGCTTGCTGCTTTTAATTAAAGTCTCGGAGGGAAAGTGCTGGATTATGGTAATGAGCAGACATACGTTCCCTCTTGTCGAGCGGAGCGGGAGGTAAGCTGACATGCAATCAGCGACAATGACAAGCCACTTGAAACCCATTCGCTCTGCTCCTCTCACAGCCCAGAGCCTGGCCCTACCCCTATAGCAGGGCACCTGAGGTGGGGGTGGGGGGACGACACCGGCCAGTCGCAGCCGCTGCCCCTTTTTGTTCGGCTCTGCCCGTGGCCGGATCCCGCTGCTCCTGCCCGGTTGCTGCCCGAAGCCGGCTCCCGCCGCTCTCGGTGATAAATATTAATCATCGCGGCAGCTTCCCTGCTCCTCGCCGCCTTTATTTATTTTTTTCCAGACCTGTGAAAGTGCTCGCCTACCTTTTCTTGTTTTTCTTGAGGTTTTTTTTGTTTTGATTTTTTTTTTTGTTTGGCTGGTTGGTTTTTTTGTTTATTATATATATATATTTAAATTTTGTCTCTCGGCCGCGCCGTAACGCGTCGGCTCTGCCCCTCTCTCCGCCCACAGGCATGGAGGACGCCGGCGTCCAGAGGGGAGTATGGGACGGGGACGCCAAGACGGTCCAGCAGTGCTTGACTGACATTTTCACCAGCGTTTACACCACCTGCGACATCCCGGAAAATGCCATTTTCGGCCCCTGCGTCCTGAGCCACACATCCCTATACGACAGCATTGCCTTCATCGCCCTGAAGTCCACCGACAAGCGCACCGTCCCCTACATATTCCGGGTAAGACCCGCACATCTCCCGGGCCAAGCCGCTTGCCCCGCACACGGGGACAGCCCCCTGCCGCCGCTCGCCCCAACGGCTGGTCCCCGAGCACATTCTCACCGCAGGGAGCAGCCGGGAGGGATCATCCGCCGTCGGGATGCTCTCCCTGTCTCTCACTGCCGGCTGCCGGGCCCCATCCCCTCGGTCGGTTCCTCCACCCGTCCGTGCGCGTTGATGAAAACGGGGTTTGTAGGTGGACACGTCGGCGGCAAATGGCTCGTCGGAGGGGCTGATGTGGCTGCGGCTGGTGCAGTCGGCGCGGGAGCGGGAGGAGCAGAACCTGGAGGCCTACATCAAGAGTGGGCAGCTCTTCTACCGATCTCTGCGCCGCATTGCCAAGGACGAGGAGCTGCTGGTGTGGTACGGCAAAGAGCTCACCGAGCTGCTTCTGCTCAGCCCCGCACGGGCTCCTGCCCGCAGCAACGGTGGGTGCCCCAAAACCCCTTCCCGTGGCCGGGGGGGAGGCCGGGCCGAGGTCCCTGCCAGGGGTGATGGGAAGGGGGGCTGCCATCGGTACCCCTTTTTCCCTTCTCTTTCCTTTAATCCCCTGGGATGACTGGTCGCCGTTCCCGGCTGACGGTGCTCCCGTCTCTCTCTCTGTGCCGTGTGTCCGGCTGCAGGCTCGCCGCCTTTCACCTGCCCCGAGTGCAACCAGCGCTTCCAGTTCGAGCTGCCTTTCGCCGCTCACCTCCGGTTCCGCTGCCCCAAGAGGCTGCATGGCCCAGATACCACTAGCCCCGCCGCCGACGGTCCCGGCAGCAAGGACAGCGTCGGCAAGGAGCAGGAGGCCGGCAAGTACTGCAAGCCCGGAGGACCGCTCCACCACCCCTTCCCCGGGGCAGACGGCGGCGGGGCCGCCGCCAGCACCAAGCCCTCCACGGACTTCCACAACCTCGCGCGGGAGCTGGAGAACTCCCGCAGCGGCCACGGCGGGTCCCCGGGGAGGCCGGCGCCCGCTGAGGGCGACCCCGAGACAGCGGCCGGGAAAGGCAAGCGACGATACCCCGAGGAGGAGGAGCGGGGCTCCGGGGCGGCCGCGAGAGGCCGCTTCCCTGAGGAGCGGCCCGGGCTGCCGTCGGCGCCCAAGGAGGAGCCCGTGTGCGCCCCGCAGCAGCAGTACCGGGCCGCTGGCTCCTACTGCGGCTTGGAGGAGGGCGGCCGCCTCTTCGCACCGCCCAGCCCGGAGACGGGGGAGGCCAAGCGCAGCGCCTTCGTGGAGGTGAAGAAGACGGCCCGCGGCCCCGAGCCCGACGGCGGCGGCGCCGAGGAGGGCCAGGAACGCGCTTCCCCCGTTGCACCGGGTGCAGGCGGCAGCGATCCGGGGCTATGTCCCCGCAGCGGCCCCGGGGTCCCGCTGCCCGCTCGTCTAGAAGGTGGCAGCCCGGCGCGGGGCAGCGCCTTCACCACCGTCACACAGCTCGGGGGGACCGGCCCCGGCGGGGGGGCGGAGGAGCGAAAGAGCGCCTTCTCACAGCCCGCCCGCTCCTTCGCGCACGTCCCGCCGCTGGTGCTGGGCCAGAAGCTGGGCGGCCTGGGGGAGCCCTGCTCCGACGGCGCCGCCGCTCCCACCCGCCTCTATTCTGCTGAGGCGCTGGCCGTCAAGATGCCGGGTGGCGGAGAGGCGGCGGGCGGAGGCGGCGGCGGCGGGAGTGGAGGCGGCGCCGGGGGGCTGCCCAAACAGAGCCCCTTCCTCTACACCACCGCCTTCTGGCCCAAAAGCTCGGCGGCGGCGGCGGTGGCGGCGGCGGCGGCAGGGCCGCTGCAGCTGCAGCTGCCGTCGGCGCTGACGCTGCTGCCGCCGTCGTTCACGTCGCTGTGCCTGCCGGCCCAGAACTGGTGCGCAAAGTGCAACGCGTCCTTTCGCATGACCTCGGACCTGGTGTACCACATGCGCTCCCACCACAAGAAGGAGTATGCGCTGGAGCCCCTAGTCAAGCGGCGCCGCGAGGAGAAGCTCAAGTGCCCCATCTGCAACGAGTCCTTCCGAGAGCGGCACCACCTATCCCGCCACATGACCTCCCACAACTAGCGGGAACACCCCCCTCAACCACACTCCAACAACACCCCGCACACCCGGGGACCCCCCGGCCGGCCCCCGCGGAGGGCAGTGGTTGCCCGGTGCTTTCTTCCCTTTCCTTTCGATGCACGCATTTTCACTTTGTGGGGAGGGATGGGGAGGGCAGCAGGGAAGAAGAGGAGAACAAGAAGAGGGAAAAAAGGAGAAAAAGAAGAATAAAAAAAAAAAAGAAAAGAAAAAGGAAAAAGAAAAAAGAAAGGGAAGAAAAAAGAAGAATGGGAAAGAAGAAAAAATACAAGAAAAAAGAATACAAGTAAAAAGAACTTAAAAAATGGAAAAGAAAGAAAAGTAGAAAAAATAAAGAAAAAAGGGAAAAAGAAAAAAGAAATGAAAAAATTGAGGAAAAAAAGAAAAAAGGGGGTTGCGGAAGCAAGGAAAAAAGGGAAAAAAGGAAAAAACAAAGACTTTAAAAATACATTTTTAAAAATGTCATATATTGCAACATATTGATGCATTTGTCATACGTTTCTACTTAAATTATTAAGCACTTATGGTTTAGATGTAATAATAATTCTATGTCAGGGTAAATTTTTATTTTCGATATTCCTACAGAGTGTCACTTGGTGCCCGTGAAATGAAGTCTCGGTAGTTCCATGTTACCTTCCCTTTAATGTTCGGAGTTGTGTTGGGGTTTTTGTTATTGTTGTTGTTGTTGTTGTTTTGGATTTTGGTTTGTTGTTTTTTTTTTCTTCCTGTCCCCCCCCGAAAAGATTTATTAAACTTTATAGTTTATCTGGGTATGTTGGATGCTTTGACAATAAATGACTTTATTTTCTTCAAAGCACCTGGATGTTAATCGATGCTAGGGGGTGGCAGTGGGAAACAGGGTCCCTGGCCAGGCTGCAAGGAAAAGGAGAGACCCCTTTCCCTTTCCCTTCCCCTTCTGTTTCCCCATCTCCTTCCCCCTCCCCTTTCCCTTCCCCTTCCCTTTCCACTTCCCCTTCCCTTCCCTTCCCTTCCCTTCCCTTCCCTTCCCTTCCCTTCCCTTCCCTTCCCTTCCCTTCCTTCCCCTTTTTTCCTTTGGGGTGACAGGGCCCAGGGGAGCACCAGCCTGGGGTGTCCTGAGACAAGGAGTGCTGGGAGGGGAGGGGGAGTGGGTCCCCCTGCCCTAGTGAGTTACTGGGGTGATGGGACAGGAACACATGGGAGGGCTCAGTATCCTCCCTGGGAATGGGGGGACAGTTTGGTCCTATGGCAGGAGCTGCAGCAGGTGCATTTTGTGTCAGAGCCACGTATTCTTGGGTGCAAGGGACAGCACCAGCCGATGCAGCAGCTTGGTGATCTGTTGAAACCAAATGTCCACAGCCCGGCTGGCAACACTTGCTGAGGGCCAGCCGTCACAAGGATGATGTGTGTGGCCCAGCAGCCAGGCTGCAAAGCAGGAAGTGAGTCAGGCAGGAGCCCAGGGAAGAACCTGGGAGCCCCACAGTGCTGTGCAGATGGGGCTCAGGGTGCTATCAGCATCTCCTGCCGTGTGTTCGGGGGTTTGCCATCCAGACCTGCTGCAAAGATTTAACAACTACGGGGGAAGTTGGGTGCAGCTTCGGAGAGGACGCACTTAAAACCTCTGTGTATTTTGAGCCTTACTGCTTCTTCCTGAGGGGAGCTGATGCTCACAACCGACTCTGACCCTCCATTAAATCAGAACAGGTCGGTCCCTGATATGGTGATAATGCAACCGAGATCACGGTCTGAGGGTTTTCCCCACACAGCACAGCTTCCCTTAGCTGCTGTTTGCTCCATTAGTCCTTGAAGGCCACAATCTGCCTAGCCCCAAGAGTGTGCGAATAACTAACCCCCCCCCCTCCCCCCCCAGCTGGAGGTGCTAACACTGCACCCCCTGACAGCCACCCACTGAAGTGGGCATCACGCGTGGCTCCACCTGCCCGCAGTTAATTGCGGGAAGAGGCCCTTAATTACTCCCCAGGGACCTTCCCTTAAAGGCGATAACAGCGCGGTGGGTCGCCGCTGTTGGAAGGCGGTGTTTGGCGGGGGTTCCCGTCATAGTTACGCCGGTGTGCCCGAGGCCGGGCGGGGATAAGGAATGCCGGCGGCAGGTTACCGTGGGGGCACTGCCACCTAGCGAGCACGGCGGGTTCGGCGGCAGAGCTCCATTCTAACGCCGGGTTTGTCCGCGCGGTGAGGGCTCCAGGGTGCCAGCTCGGGGCCGCAGTCGGCGCTCGGGGGGGGCCCGGGGCACTGCAGAGAGAGGGAGCGAAGGAGGATGCGCTGCCCAAACCCTACTCTCTTATATTAATAGCAATGCTGCATGTGGGATAAGAAGGAAGGGAATCTCACTATTGCTTTTTATTCCTGACTGGGCTGATGCTGTGCTGCATCTCAGTACAGCGCAGGGGCCAGCTGGGCTGCACCACTAGCCGGGTTTCTTTGGCATGGGATTCTGTCCAAGCAACACAGGTCAGAAAAGACAGCACCAAGGCACAGTTCAGGCATTTCTTTAAGGACAGAGCTGCATCTGTGAACCCACACTAGAACACTGGTGCATGTGGCTACAAAACCCACCCTGCAAGGTGTGTCTTCAATGTGCTGCAGAGAAGTGAGGCACCTGAGGAGTGAGGAAGGGCAGCTTTTGGCCTCAGCCTGCCCCAGTGCTGTCAGGGGAGCACAGTTCCTGCTGCCTGCAGTGCTCAAGGTAAGACCAGGCATGTGGCCAGGCACTATGCAAACACAGGTAATTCTAACAAATTGATGTATTAGTGCTGTTACTAGGGTGCAGTGGGCAGGCTTGTGTCTGCAGTAGTATTTGAAAGCTGCTCTGAATTGTGTGTATTCTGTGCCACTGATGCATGTGGGCAAAACTGTGGTTTGGGTTTTTTTTGTCTGATGTTAATGCAAGCAGCAGCCCCACAGCTCCTGAATCTGCAGCCTGAAGCCAAAAGCAGCTACCTGCCCCCGGGTCTGATCCTGCCCCTGACAAAACCAGTGGGAGCTTTGTCTCTGGAATAGCTGTGGAATAGCATCTGTGGGGTCAGACACAGGTGACTGAACCCCTGGTTGCACAGACACAAGCAGAGCAGAGCCGCTTTCACTGCATTTTGATATTGAGGTCGGGGTCAGCCCCCTTCCAGCTGCACTGCAGCCTACAGAAGTTGCCCAAAAAAATCTCAGCTGAGTTTTTAGCTGAGCATGAAGACACCAAGCAGCATGATGGAGGAATGGAAAGCTGGTGCCTGGTCATGGACACCATTTCCTGGGGTTGTTCCTGAAGAGGCTGGGCCCCTCTTTTCAAAGTGTGTATTAGTAGTTAACCTGCATTGGGCAGATTGCTAAAACTGAAAAAAAAAACAACCCCAAACCCCAACAAACAACAACAAAACATAAAAAAACCCAAACCAAAACAAACAACAACAACAAAACCCCAAAACAAACCACCAAAACCAAACCAGCTATTAATATTTTGTTCTAATACCTAGCTCTGCAAAGTGAATTATTCAGCTGTGGATAGCTAAGAAAGGACTGAAATAGGGTGTTTGTTTTGAAAACAATGACCTTAGAGAGATGTAGGGAAGAAAGCATTCCCTGTGAGGGTGGTGAGGCCCTGGCACAGGTTGCCCAGAGAAGCTGTGGCTGCCACATCCCTGGCAGTGTTCAAGGCCAGGTTGGATGGGGCTTGGAGCAGTATGGTCTAGTGAAAGGTACCTCTGCCTGTGGCAGGGCATTGGAACTGGATGAGCTTTAAAGTCCCTTCCCGTTCAAACCAGTCTGGGATTCTAAAATTCTATTCAGTATTTATTTTCTGCTTTGCACCTAAAACTAGACCCTGCTGCTAAAGTTTTATTCGGAGGGGGCGAAGGTCGTACCCAGTGCAGAAGATATTGATGGCGAGTCTAAAACAAATGCACACAAAAATAAAAACACATGGGAGGAGTTTCTGTCAAATACAGCACTGTCCTGCAAAATGCTGGAAGAGTACTGTGTTAATGGTAGGACTGAGTAAGTGCAGGTCTGTTGAAGATGGTGCTTAATCACTAGCAGCAGCTGTTCGTTTTTGTTCTGCAAGGCTGCTGCCAGCCCCTGCTTGCAGAAGCACAATAGGGTATGTCGGCCCTGTAGTGGGAATGTGGTGCTGGCAGGGCGCTGCAGGGAAGCTGTGCTCAGCACCTCTTCAGTGAAGCATCTGGGGGCCTTGGCTTAGCCTTATGTTTTCCTAGAGGAAAGTAAAGGAGCAGCACAGGTGCCAGGCTGGTGTTTTCCAGCAGTGAAGTGGCTTCTGAGAGACCCCATGGGGAAGGGGTGCATGCCACCTGGCAGCACCTGGGCTCCCTATGGCTCCTGAGATATCTTAATTAAACAAATGTAGTTTAACACCTGTGTGTGTGTATGTATGTATGTATGTATATATGTATTTAGTAACATAGTCTGCTTTCAGCTCTTTGCAGACTTTCTTCTCTAAGGCTTGCACCTTCCACAGGAGGGAGGACGCTTCCCAGAGGGCCATCCTTGCAGGGCATCTTTCTGCACATTGAGTTTCCTTCAGGCCATAAATCCTTGTCAGAAAGTTGTTTTTTTTCCAACCTCCTGGGATGCTGTGGTGTGTGTTTTCCTAGGGAGCAGCTGATCCCACGGCACTTAGTGCCTGCACAAGTACAGGGGTACAGTGTTGCCCCTCAATCCCGAGAGATGGACTCCAGCGTGCTGTATACTGTGAAATAACCCATTCTGTAAGTGGAACAAAAAGTGATGCTGGAAGCCTGGCATGCTTTCCTTCTGAGGTTGTCTGGTAGGGTGCTGCTGCCAGCCTCTCACAGCTTGGCTTGGGTCCATCATACCCATGCACATGCACCCCATGGGATCCAGTGGTGCTTCCTATAATATGGTTATAGGACATTCCTCCAGTTTATAGGGCTGACAGAGCATGTGCCAGCTCTGGTAGAGCTAGGGCTTCACAAATCGGCTCACTTCTCTGGCTTGATGTCACATATTCTTAAGGTCCACTTCAAAAGGAATGGGCTCATGTTTGGAAGGGGACACGTTCCTGCCATGTGAAGCATGGCCCCGTGTTATTCAGCAGATCAAATAGGCTCAGAAGACCCCTTCTCTTCAAATAAGGAACCTTACACTTGAAATCCAACTCACCGTCTCCATTTTGTCTTCACAAAGCCTTGAATAATTCAGTTAACATAACATCAGCATTAGGCTTCACAAGCTGCTGGGGTGTGTGTGTGTGTGTGTGTGTGTGTGTGTGTGTGTGTGCGCGCGCGTGCAAGGGCTGCTGCTGCCAAGGGCAATTACATGGGATTATTCCAGGAAGTTGACTATTAGATCTACTTATTTAGATTTAAGCTTTATCTTTTTTTCTTACTGAATTATGTTACATGGACACTTGGGCTCTTTGAAATTCATGTGTTACATTAATCAACAGATTCAAATGAAAACAACCCAAGGCAGTACAGTTCATGCCAGCTTGGGAGTTCAGTTTCTTAGGGTTTCAGTGTGAAGATGAAAATATGCCATGTCCTATAAGAATAATTAATATCTTGTGTGAGTGCTTTCTTTGCCAGCATGGCTGGCTGCTCTATGGGGGCACAGGAGCTGCTCTTGTGTCCAATCACGCCCTGATAAAGGGTTTAAACCTTTTTACATTTACCTTAACTTCCAGTGGCAGGAATAGTTTATAGTCTCCTTGACTGGGATGGAGAACAGAGATTTCACTGGGGCTTATACTTTGATAGCTGCAGCTTTTAAAGCAAGATGCAAAAGGGGAAATCCTCCTCGAGGGGAGGTGGCTGTGCCTCAGCTGTGCTGATACACCAGATCTGGTGCAAATGTCATGAGGGGTTCATAACCTCTTTAGGTCTGTGCCTGGCTCCTGGATCTGGATTTAGAGCCATCTTGGGTATGCAATTAAATAAACAAGATAAGGTGGGTAAGTGGAATTCACACATTTTACCAGGCCAAGCACTACAGATGGAAGGAGTAAACAAGCTTTCAAGTGCTCTGACCATCCTTCAGGTATGTGTATCTATATATAGGGCTGTCTATATATACACATTTATATATGTGCTGATAAATAGCTTGAAATTGCAGTAATGTTGATGTGTGATCATTTCTGTTCACAACACAGCATGGCAGGTGTCACTCGGGATGGATACAGCCCCTCCAGTGTGTGTCCCTGACTGTGCCCCTGACTTTCAGCTTCCTCCCAGGGCAATGGTCACCTTGTGGCATGCCACCACTTTGCCTCCTTCCTGCTGAACCTGATCCCTGGGTACAGCCTGGCTGCAGAGCATTCTCTGGGTATGGAGCGGGGGCCCCCCCCAACCAGGTTTACAATAGAAGTAAGGGCATGTGGGTGCTGAGTTTGGGTACATGCTGGGCAGGGCAAGTTTGCCCAGTCTTGGCTTTTGTAGAGGTGGGCTCAGGAGATGGCAGGGAACCTCAAGCAGCCTCAAGAGCTGGAAAAAGAGGAGTGTGCTTGGTGCTGTGCTAGGGTGATGGATAGGCTGTTGCCACAGGGACTTCTCTTGTGTGTGGTGTTGTGTGGCAGTTGTTTTTGTAATCGGGAAGAAATACGGCTGCTGGTATTGGCAAGGCAGTGGGCACGTGTTGGGGTTACCATGCTAGCGGTGGGAAGCCAAGGGGCTGTGATCCTGCCTCCCTGGGAATGAGGGGGGGGGGGGGGATATTGTGAGCAGACAAGGCTCAGTGCTTCCCTGAACGCCTTCAGGTGTTGTCAGGGGGAGCTTTGGTAATGCCAGTGCTGACAGTCCCCCATGAACCCAAAGGGCTGCTCTTGGAGAAGCCACCACATGGGGGGTTTTGCACTCGGGGTGCTGCCTGCAGCTCCAGGTCTGCTCCCCTTGCCCGGGGAGGGGGCTGTGCTGTGCAGCTGCCGCCTGTCATCCCCTGCACCCCCAGGCCAGGGGGGTGCAACCCAATCCCTTCTCGGTCCCGGGGGCTCCACCGAGCCCCGCTGCCCGGCCGCTGTGCAGCCGCTGACACGGTATTTCTCGGCGGTAACCCGAGGCGAGGCTCCCGCGCCTCCATCTCGGCGGGACGGACAAGTTAATTCCCCAGATTTATGCGCCCCCTGAGCCCCAGCATCTGCCGCGGGGGAGGGAGGGCCGGGGGAGGGGGTGTCTCGGCGCGGCTGGGGCCGGACACAGGTGCGGGGCCGCCGCCCGTTTATAAATACCCCGTCCGCGGCGAAGGGCGTCCCGGCCCTCTCCCTGCCCAGTCTCCCCACCGGGGCTCGGCGGCGGAGCGGGATGCTTCGCTGCGCCCTCCCTCCCACCGGCATCATGAGCCCGTCCTTCCTCTTCCTTTTTCTCCTCCTCCTCGCCCTGCCCGCCTGTGCCCGGCGGGAGCCGATACCCGGTGGTGCTCAGCCGGGCGCCCCCGCTCCTTCATCTTTTTCCTCTTCCTCAGCGACAGCCGCAGCGGGTCAGAGCCGCTTCCCGCGGAGCCGCCCCGGGCGGCGGCGGGGCCGGTTGTATTGCCGGGTGGGCATCGGCTTCCACCTCCAGCTACACCCCGATGGACGGGTGGACGGAGCCCACGACGCAAGCCCGCTCAGTGAGTGCACTGCTGGGGAACACCGGCCGAGGGGGGCGGGGTCGGGGTCGGGGGACATCGGAGAACCCTGGGGCTACAGCATCTCCATCCCTGAGGTGTTCCCTCGGGGGAGATGGAGCTCCTAGGTCCCTGCTAACCTTGCCTAGGGTGAGCTGCAGCCTGGGCTGCACCCCAAATTCACCTGGGAAAGGGGAGTTTGGGATGCTGGCTGTCCCGGGAGGCTGGGGTGCTGTATCCTGCAGACTCAAGTGGGATGCTGCCCCCCGGGAGTAAAGTGAGCTATGCACTCCTTGCTTTGGGAATTCCCACCCGGTGGGGTTCATCTGCATTGAAGAAGCAAATCCATGGGGATTGGTGTGAAGGTGCGAGGTTTGTACTCCTGCCATAGCACCTCACTGGGGTATAGCAGGGGAGGATGCTGCACTGGGCTCTCCATCGCCCTCCCCTTTCCAGTCTTTTCCCCATGTAACTTTTCTATCCTTCCCTCTGCATTCTCATTCTTCCAGCACAGTGATAGGATATATTTAGTTTAAAAATAGGACTAAGGCTGACGTTCCTCTGAAAGAAAGCTGTGATAACTCATGGCTTATCCTTTGGGTTGGGGTTGCTGTGATATCCTGTTAGAGGGAATAAAATGGCAGGCAGGGATGAAAAATCACTTAAAAAGCCTGAGGGCTCGGGCCTGAGGTGACCCTGGCAGCACACATGGTTCTGTCAGGCACAGTCAGGGAGCAATGGCCACATCTGGCCAGGACCAAATAATTCAGGCTCTAATCTGCCATGGCCCCATGAAGGGGTGCTGGGAGACCAGAAATCCTGCTTGGAGTTTTGAGGAGTGATGTTGATGGTGGCTGCAAGAGGGTTAGGGGATGGGTTTGAGAACGGGAGCATCCCTGCTGGGGCTCTTTTGGAAGACATGAGTTTGGAGGGGCTGCTTGCACCCTGCTCTGCAGAGGGCGACGTGTATAGCCTTGGACACCACAGCTGTCTCACAGGGTCTTGGGTTATGCAAAGTTCCGTTCCCTTTAACCTGAAATTTTCCCCTGGGGAGGTGATCACCTCTGCACTTTGGAGCATGTACCAGTATCAGTGGGAGCTGTGTTGGGGTCTTGCACCAAGGAACCATCCCCCATGGGGAGGAGATTGGCTTTTGGCAGGGAAACCTCACCTTTGTCCCTATGGGGCTTGACCCAAATAACCAGGAGTATGTCTCCCTCCCCCCACAAAGGCCATCAGGTTTTGGGGTGCCTTTGAGGACAGAAAATGTGCCGCAGAAGGTGTGTGCCTTTTGCAGTGGGACTGCACAACTCCATGCCCCACTGGGGCATGTGGGGTGTGGAGGGGTGGCTCAGCAGCCCCCCCCCCCCCCCCCGAGTGTCCCCCAGGCCTTTGGTGCCAGGAGCTGTGCTTCCTCCTTAAAATAAACATGGGAAGTGGTGAACTGATCCCCCAGCCTCAGGGATTTAAGGCAGCTTCATGTTTGCTCTTGGCATGTTAATCAGCATGGCCCTTCGCTGGGGCTGGGTGAGATACTTTCCCGGGCCACTGAGACTCCCCTCCTAAGGGTAGCAACACTTTTTTTCCCAGGGTGGGAAAGGCACATTGGGAATGTGTGGCTTATGTGGCTGGTCGGAGTGTTGGGGGGGATGACTGAGCCCTGCTGCCACCCCTTCTCTGCCTGCAGGATACCACGCTGTGTGAGGAAGAGAAACATTTTGGTGCTGTTTCTGAACAGGAGGCTTCAGCAGGAGATGGAAGCTCTGCTGTAAAATTAAAGGTCATGCTAGCCAGGGACCAGAGCCCAGTCCCACTTGGAAAATACCCCACTGAGGGGAATACAGCTTGTTTTCTTGTGGCTGGGCTGTGTGGCACCCCACTGCCCAGGTCCTGCTGTGAGGAGGGGCCTATGAAACAATTATTGGTACTTCTAGCCCCAAATAGGGTGTATGACACTGTGATTTCCAGAGTTTGGTATGCATGGGAGGATGATGGGCAAGGCTGATCTCAGCAGCAGGGGAATTTTCCCGATCTTGAGAGAGATTTCCCCGGAAGTGAAATTCTGTCACAGCAGAGTCATAATTAGGCCTCTAAAAGGCAGCTTTTTAAAACTAAGCATAACTAAATCACCACCCTGTAGCCATCCCGCAGTGAATGCAGGTCTATGGGGCAGAAGGATAGAGCAGGAGCGCTGTGGAGCAGAGTCCTGTGAAGAGGAAATGCAAACCTATGAGCCTGAGGTTTTTTAACTTTTTTTTTTTTTTTTTTTTTTGTCACACTGATGTGAAAAGAACTGTGATTTATTTTGGGATTTCTGTCATCCTAGGTATTTTGGAAATATTTGCTGTGTCTCAGGGGATTGTAGGAATACGAGGAGTTTTCAGCAACAAATTTTTAGCGATGTCAAAAAAAGGAAAACTCCATGCAAGTGTAAGTAAACCCCCTGCTTCTCAGTATCTGTTGTTTATTAAAGGCCTTGGGACACTTCCACGTGCACGCTGTGATCCTGATGTGCCAAGCCCCTTTGGCATTTAGCCTGACTGGCGTTTACATCTAACCAAGGGAAGTACTTTTTCCTTTCCTACAGTTGGGTACTTGCATCAAAAGGACTTGTTCTTTCAGCATTGCTGGGATATTTTTAGCACCTTCTGCAGCAGATCATGCAGATGGCTTCAGCCAAATGTCTCCTGGTGAGCGACACGAGAGGCACCAGGAGCCTGCCTGTGCCCATTAGTGGGAAAGGGGCTGTGACTCTGGAGTTTGAGCTGGGTTCTCCCATGGGGAAAAACATCCCCAGGATTTCAGGCAGGTGAGATCCAGCCTTTGTGCAAGAACTGCAGACAAATTAGAGAATTTCCATTAATTCCTGTTTCTGCTGGATGTTTTCCTGAAATCTGGGGTTTTCTGCGGTTTTAACTGTGCTTTTTACATGCTGCTTCTGTTGAACCAATCCTGTAAATTGCTTTTACTTTTTTTCAAATTCAAGAAGCTGTTGCCTAATTTTTTCCTGTTAGTTCCTGAGACCATTCAAAGAAATCAAAGTGACAACTGTGCTGACATGAAAGTCATCACCCTTTAAAGGTGTATGTGTAAATGCAACACCCAAAGAAAGGCATTTTTAAGGCAGCATCTCTGACAACCTGTCACCCAAGTTTATTCCCAGCCTAGAAGAGGGAAAAGCCAATTGCCTGCCCTGTGGCTATAAGTCAAGCCTCCTGGTCGTGAAGTGGATGTAAGCTATGTGATGTGCTTATGCTGCTTGAGCTTGCATCTTGCCTTCATGTGAGATTTATGAACTTGCCTCTTTCTCCCTTGAGTCTTACTGGAGTGTTGCTCCTGAAACCTAACAATGCTTAAAGGGTAAGCATGTGGTTGCTTATTTTAGGAAGAAAAGTAGGACCAGGAATAGCATCTAGGGGAAAGGGGGAATGGTGAAGGAAAGCATGAGGGAAGGAGGCAGGGTGGGAAACAGGAAGAACAGGTGGGGAGCAGTGGAAAGGTGAAGGATGGAGAGGAGAGGGAAGTAGACAGAGAGTGATCCCTGGGCCCTCCAGAACCTTTCCTCCCTTGTGGTTTACAATAGGCCACTTATTTGAGCAGAAGCCTTGATTTATGCCCTGGCACAGTCAGAAATCAAATAAAACCTTGTCAGTGTATGGTTAATTATCAGCACACAAAAGGCAAAGCCAGAGGGGGACATCAATTAGGTGGGTCAGGGTGGGGGTGAGGACACACGATGCCCTGCTCAGATGAAAGCCACAAATTTGTAGAAACTTGACCCAAATGTATAAAGATTGCTGGGCTAAATAACACCGATAATGCAAACCCAGCATCTGTTGTTCTTTCCTGCTTTGACAGGATAAAGTTATTTCATGGCCTAATGAGTTTTGAGCAGTACAAAGTGTGTCCTGTGCCCGTCACTCAGGGCAGTGCTTTGATATGGGAGTCATGCCAGTGACTTTGTGCTGAACTGCAGCTAAAAGTCATTCCTGTAGGAAAGCAGTCTCTCAGAGCCCAGCTTTATCCCAGCTTCACATTTTATGGCAGCTCTTCTTCCTTCCTTCTTTCTCCTTCTTCCTTCAGAAAATGACAGTAATCTCGGCAATTATCAGTTACATGCACAGATGGCTTTTTCCTCATTTATAAATCCTTGGTTTCCTGTTTGTATTTTTTTGGCATGGGACAGGCAGGAGGGGGTTTGGTGTCAGTCTTGTCACGAACCCCAGAGGACAGATTTGCCCACTGGGGTCTTGGGTAACTCTCCTTTCTCAGGAGTTGGTCTGAGCTGATGGAATGCTTTGTCCTTCTCTGGGGCTATTTGCTGTTGAATTGGATTTTGAAATTGTTTTGACTTCAGGATTGCTCTTCATGATTGTTTCTGGAGCTGCCACAGAACAAATCCAATGGGCAGCCAGTACACTGGGGAAAATGTCTTTTCCTCAGTGGAAATGGTGTGGCTGCTGAGCTGAGAGGGTGGGATTTATGGAAAGCTGTCAGGGTGATGGTGAAGGAGCAGCTGATGAGCTTCACGAAGTGGTTTGCAAGGTGGTTTGCTGTCTGGCACCCTTCTGTGCCCAGTTCTGGGATCCCGCACACCTTTGGAAAGGGATGCTACTCCAGCTCTTAGGGAGCAGCTCATTAAATGCATAAAGTGGTTTGGGTTGGAAAGGACCTTAAGATCATCCAGTTCACCCCCCTGCCACGGGCAGCAATGCTTCACACTAGACCATGTCACCCAAGGCTCTGTCCAACCTGGACTTGAATACTGCCAGTGATGGAGCATTTATCATGTTTTGGGCAGCCTGTGCCAGTGCCTCACCACCCTGACAGTAAAGAACTTTTTGCTTATATCTAACCTGAACTTACCCTGTTTCTGTTTAAACTCATTCCCTCTTGCCCTATCGTTACAGTTCCTGTTGAAGAAGTTCCCCCAGACCACTTTAAGCAGGAAATTTTCCTGCAATGCTGTGGCTGGGGAGCTTGGGAGCCTTCTTACTGCCATCTCCCTCTGGGGAGGCTTTGCCCCAGACATGCTGGGCCAGATTGGGAGCACCAGTTTGGCTTTCCCATGAGTAAATCAGCAGTGAGCTTACCCATCTGTACAGGGATATGGATGAGCAGGGGCACAAGCACCTTACCCTACTCACAGTAGCATTTGCAAAGCCCACTGGAACCTGTTTTGGTATCAGATTCTGGCTGTGGGCAGTGGGCGGGGCAGCCAACTTTATCTCCTGCCCCAAAAAAGTCTTCTCTTGCCATTTCTCACTGTTCAAAGGGCTTGCTTCAGGCCTTTTGCACTGAGCACTCTTTCACTGATACTTTGTCAATCCTAAAACCTCCCTGTGCAAGGGATGACACAGGGGTGTCTTTCCTAAGCACAACAGCATGTGCTGGGACATCAAGAGCAGCAAAGGGTCAGCAAAGCCTCACCTCAGGAGGGTAAACAGTCCTGCATGGGTGATACAGCAGTGAGGATAACAGACAGGTAAAGCATCAGGGTGTTGTTTCTTTCACGCAAAGAGCAAAAGGAGACTTATTTCAAAGTGCTATGAAGAAGAAACCCCACATGGCAGGCTGGGGACTCTGCTACTTTCATTGTAGGATTATGATTCTATGATTTTCTGGTTAAATTAGGCATTTAAAAGTGATCTGAGCTAGTTGGGCTGTCTGCATAGTTATAAAGCACTGTTTGGGGGTTGTCTTATCCATTGCTTGAGTTTTTCAAAGCTCGAGAGCTCATTATCCCTTTCCCATCAGTAGTTTCAAAGCGTGGCTGGAGGATCTGTCAGGCCAACAGGTACCATGCCCACAATCGGCTTCAAGCATAGCAAAGGATGTCGGAGGGGTTGCTGGATCCTGCAGCCAGGTGTTCCAGGTCTGTGGGTACATACCTGGGGTGTTAAGGCTCTATTTGTGTATTTCTATGTGCCTTTTGGTTGGTTTAGTTGTGTTTTTTTGTTTTAATTCCTCCCCTTTGACAAGCACAAGGGTGAAATTCAGCCAGTTGTCTTGGGCAATGGGGTATCATCCCCCCGGCTGTCCAGTAGCCAGTGCAGCTGCCCAATTTAAGAGGCAGCACTGTTGCGTGCAAGTAATTCCTTGAGTTTATCAAGGGGCAAACAGCCTGAGTTCATTTAAGATGAAAAAGGAAAAAGAAAATCCAATACAATCAAAGCCCTGTTCAGTAAAGCAATGGCAATCTGCATGCAAATTGCATTTCTAGACTGTTCAGTTACGATCCAGTGACCAAGTGAGGGGTGTGAGGGTGGGAACGGAGATGAAGCTGGGCTCAATCCTTGGGTCCTTGTGGGGACTGCAGCACCAGGGGTTTGGAGCCACATCCTCCCTGTGTTGAGTAGGGCAGGAGGAGAGCTGGGGCAGGAGAGAAGGGTGCTGCTAGGGCAGGACAAGCCTGTTTTTTCCAAGAAAGTCCAAAGCTGGGTGGAGAGCAGCTACCAGAAGTATCTGTGCTGGGGGGCTTCCAAATTGTTGGGTGCCCAGTGGACTTGGAGTGGGTTTCCCAAGTGTCCCATGTTGGTGATTTCAACGCAAAGTCCCCCAAAGGGGCCTCTTTTGGGGAAGACTGAAACACCCAGTGAATGTTGCAGGGCAGGGGATGGGTTTGACCATCCTTTTGTTAATAGCACCCTGGCTCTGTCCTGCAGGCCCGGTTCACAGCGGACTGCCAGTTTCGGGAGCGCTTCCAGGAGAACAGCTACAACACATACGCCTCAGCTGTGCACCGCAGCCCACACTCGGGGCGACAGTGGTACGTGGCCCTCAACAAGCGTGGCAAAGCCAAGCGTGGCTGCAGTCCCCGTGCCCGGCCCCAGCATGTCTCCACACACTTCCTACCCCGCTTCTGGCAGCCCCAGCTCCCTGAGCTTGCCTTCACCATCACTCTCCCAGAGAAAAAGCTCCTGCCACCAAAACCAAAGGTTGCCCCATCCCCACCTCGGAAAAACCCTGGACCCATCAAGTACCGGCTGAAGTTCCGCTTTGGATAGTGCACCATCTGGGGGATGTGGCACAGGAGACACCCAGTGCCTGGGTGTATTTTGAGGTGACCCTTTGGGAGACCTGCGTCCCCCCTCCCTGGATGAATGTGGCGATGCTCCATGTAGCCATGTTGGGCTCAGGGTCTTCTCTTCACCCCACAAAGTGGATGGCATCCTTGGAGGCATGCGCTGGAGTGTGTAACTCGGGCTTTCCAAAGAGTATTCCTGCAGTGAACAGAAAACGCTTGGTGGACACTGGGTTAGTTTTCTGGTGGTGAAAGGAGCAGAAAGATACCTCTACAGCAAACATGTTTTCTTACCTTATTTTCACTAATGACTCTCTTGACAATCATTTTCATACAAGAGACATGTTCAGAGCCAACCTGTTAAATGCTTTTTTCTTTTCGGGGGTTGTTTTTTTTTTGGCATCTCCTTTTTGCTGCACTTTTTTCCTCCAACTTCAGACACCAGATACCCAGGTTTGCCCCTTCCCCTTCACCTACAAACAAGCTTCTTCCATCTGCAAGAAGATCAAGCCCAACAAATGGATTCCCCTTATCTGTGGTGCAAGGGGGGCTTAAAGCTTTGCTGGCAATAATATATGTATATATATTATTTTTTGTTAAAGAGTTGCAGGCTTGGGGAGGGTGACTGTTTGCAGCCCTGCTCCTGGTTGTCTTTCCTGTTATCCCCTGGACATCTGGAGGAGTGAGTCTCCTTTGTCTATCAAAGGATGGCATTGACATCTATGTTTAAAGTACCTCTGCCCTGGCCCTGTGGCATTCCTGCTCACATGGTGAGGGGACCACCTTCTGTGCCCCTGTTCCCTGGGGATCGTTTGCCCCCTGCCTCAGTACTCCCTGCTTTCTTCCAACAGTTACCACTGCTGATTTCTTTTATCATTCACAAGACACTGCCAGAGCAGGGAGAAAGGGTTTTATTTCATAGCAAGGGTGGTGATGTAGCAATAAATGCTACATCTTGTACATTCAGAAGTGGTGTGTTTTTTTTTTTCCCACCTAGGCTGCCCTGTGGTTCTGATTGTGGAATTGTTTCTTCATTGTGTAACCTGTGGAGTAATTGTGCATTTGGAGGTTTTAATCAGTGTTGCATACAGAAAATGGTAGCACTGAACTTCACCAGTTAAGCCTTAAGAAGAGCCCAGGTGGGCTTGCACTGGCAAAATCCTTCCAGCGTAAGCCCTGTGAGTGTGGAGAAGCAATAATAAGGGCAGGCAGCACTGCTGAGCCTTTCCAAACCTGATCATGGTACAGATGGTTATTGCCATCGGAATCATAGTTCTTCACCTGTTGTCTTTCTGGGCAGCCTCTAGTTGAACACATCTGCCTCAAGCAGTCACAAAATGCTTTTGCACAGAGGCATGTGCTCCACATGCAGGGATGGATGGGGGTGCTGGAATAAAATCTTGTCATGCTTCATTTTATAACCTGGTTGTGTAATCTCTTGCCTGTCTGCTCGACGTATGGGGTTTTGACTTTTTATTTCCCTGAAGGAGAAAAATGAGTGTCACTAACTCAGCTTCTGTGTGTGGCTTTGTCAGAGGGTTTGGTATCAGTGATGGGGTGGAGCAGAACCAAATCAGTGCACATGCTTCCTTTGTGTGCCATGCTCTGCATTCTGTACCTGAAATGGCCTGTTTTTTGGGGGCCAAGCTATAGCAGGGGTGCGCAAGTTGAATACTCGTGCCACTTCTAGTGGGACAGCCCTTGAATTTGAAGAATTCAAGAAATACTGCTTGAATTCTGCTGACCAGCAGCCAGGCACAATGAGGTGTAATTAATGCCCCCTGAACCATGGGGCCACCTAAATGAATTTAGTCAGATGAAAACAGTTGCTGGAGCTGTGTAGGAGAGTGCCAGTCTCTGCCCAGTATACGTGCCTGGAGGTCCAGGGGTAGGTTAGAGAGGGGTGAGTGTGCCATTCTCTTGGTGCCACTGCTTTCCCTCAGAGGGAAAAGGTCTATTTTTAATATTAAGGACAAACCTTCCCTGTGAGGGTGGTGAGGCACTGACACAGGTTGCCCATAGAAACTGTGGCTGCCCTATCTCTAGAAGTGTTTCAAGGCCAAGTTGGATGGGGCTTGGAGAAACCTGATCTAGTGGAAGGTGTCCCTTCCTGTGACAGGCGATTTGAACTGGATGAGTGTTAAGGTGCCTTGAAACCAGTCTGTGATTCTTGTCGATAACTAGCCTGTATGAAAAAAAAAAATATTATTCGATCCATGTGTTTCTGGGCAAAACCTGACCCTGAACTGATCTCCAATAGCAGTATCCAGCATTTGCCATAGCAACTACTGGGAAGTGCCGCTTGCAGAGATGGGAGCACAGGGGGCCACAGTTCCAGCCCATTGCCCTTGGGAGTTACCCAAGGGAGGAGGGATGCTGCTGGTCCCACCTGGATGCCAGCCTTCCTGCAGCCTCTATGCCTGCAGAAGATGAGCATTGCCATTGCCTTGTGCATGTGGGTCTGTCTGACAAGCATTTCTTCTGATGCCCCTCACTGTTTCCAGAAAGGACAAGATCATTTATCATGTTTCAGAGCTGTCTGAGGGAGCGCAGGAGCTTTTCCCCCTCTTACACCCCATTTCCCAAGAGGCTTCTGCTGAAACACTGACATTGTACTGGGGTTGCTGGCAGCCAGGAGCAGGTGCTGGTGTGGGGAGGCCGGTGCTTTAATATTACAGTGATTATTAAACTGCAGTCCTGCAATTGCAATGAAGAGTGCAGCAACCCACTTGCAACCTCAGCAGGAAACCTAACACACGTTAATCCAAGTGGTATGGACTGACAGAGGGTTTGTGTTCTTTTCTGGCTGCTCTTCTGCAAGGAGGCACAATGGGTTTACTTACCAGAAGGAGACTGAAGGCATAAAAAAAAAAAAAGGTAGATATTTGTTGACTTTAAAAATAGCCTGGGGACAACTTGAGAGGTAACTTTTCTAGTGTGTTATGTCTCCTGCATTTCAAAAGTAGGTTTGGTGTTGGCTTACTTTTGTTTACAGCTGTTGATTACAATTAAACCTTTCTGGATTTGTTTTTTGCAAGCATAGAGGAGGCCATGTTGCACTGGACAGCTGCTCCCCAGGCAGCATGAGAAGCCCAAAGCCTGCAACAGGAGCCCGAAACCTCTGCCTGCTCCCGAGGGAAGGGAGAGCCTCCCTGCCCTTCAGCGGTGTGATTTATTGAGAAAGAGGATGCAAGACCCTCTGACCTCCTTATTGGCAGCATGCTGGTGGGACCATTGCTCTTGTGGAATCAACAGAGCAAGAGTACACTTGTTTCTGTGACTGGAGGACGGAAAACTGCTGTGATGGTCCAGGAGAAGAAGAAAGGCTCCAGCTTTGAAGCTGTGACTGACATAAGCTATCCTGTCAGCCGCTCCTGCTCCATCTAAGTGTACTTATCATCTCAGTTTCAACAGCAACAGCACTAACTGCAAAACTCTTACACAGGATTTTTTACTTAATTTGCATGAAAGCTCTTCATGTTGACTTTAAATGTTGTTGCACACAGAGGATTGATGGTTACAAGACACGGCAAAGCATAGCATATGACAAGGGAAGATACCCTTTTTTGCTAATTGGTTGTTAGGTGTCAAGGATGGAGTTTATTGAGTAATGTAGTCTAGAGTTTCCTTCCTGTCAGCAGCAGCGGATAGGTTCATCTTGGTTCTTTGGTTCAGAGAGACTGGGTTTGCTGTGGGAGTGCTCTCTTTACGCAGGGCAGGTGAAGCAAATCACAAAAAGATCTCCCCCTCCATTGGGAAGAGGTTTGAACAGCTTAGACTACATAAGGCACTGAGAATTCAGTGCTTTGCAATAAAGCTTTATCATATCTTGTGGCTAGTTCCACCTACCTCTTGATTCCTGCATCTTCTCTGGTTAACCAGCTTGCAAATCTTAAAACATTTCCTTTTCTGTTTTGTTTTCTTTGCATCCTGAGAAAAATAAATGAAAAAACCCCATAAAGAATGAACTTGTTTTTCAGTGCTTTGCTACAGGAAGCGTGGTTGGTGAATAGTAGAACCACTGAGCAGGCTTATTCTCCTGTGGTGCTTTTCCATTTTTGTGCTATAGTGAAATGATAACATAAGTTTAACAGCATATATCAAATGCCTTTTGCAGCCTTTGTGGGCCTAAAACGTGCTGTTGCCACGCTTCATGCACAATCCTGTATCAAACTTGTATTTCATGTCTAAAGCAAATTTTTTAATTTAAAAGAATGAACTGTTTGTGTCAGTATATGGAGAATTGTCAGTATATGGGGAATTGTCAGTATATGGGGAATTGTCAGTATATGGAGAATTGTCAGTATATGGGGAATTGTCAGTATATGGGGAATTGTCAGTATATGGAGAATTGTCAGTATATGGAGAATTGTCAGTATATGGAGAATTGTCAGTATATGGAGAATTGTCAGTATATGGAGAATTGTCAGTATATGGAGAATTGTCAGTATATGGAGAATTGTCAGTATATGGAGAATTGTCAGTATATGGAGAAACCAATTTTGCAAAACCAAAGGCATGATGCAGTTGCCTTACTCCTTGCTGCCTCAAGTGGGTATTTTGTCCTACTGTCCTTCTTATTTTGGTTATTCTTAGTTTAGTTTTCCATTAATTTGTAGGTGGAGATGTCAGGGCTGACTCAGGGTTATGGCCTATTTAGCTCCCTTTGGTTGTATAGATTATCCAAATGTCTCTGTCGGGGGTTGCTGCTGTCAAGTCTGAACTGTCTGCTTGCAAAAATATACCAGTGAATTTCTCTGAGCAGAGAGAAATTCCCTGGAGTTGGACTGGTCTCAAACTGTACAGGATTCAAACTGGCACTGTTAATTCTGACCACCTAGATAATTTTTGCATGCAAGCTAAAATTCCTTAGGCTGGTGCCTTCAGGATTTCTTATTTGGTGCTTCCCTCAATCCCCCACCAATTGCTGAGACACTGCTGTCCCATACAAAAGTTATCAATGGGGCTATTTCCCATCCACAATCATCTCCTTCATCAGAGAAAAAACAATGTGAGTCTTTCAAGTCATAGCTGGGATATATGATGGCGACAGTTCATACAGTGAGAGGTTATTTGAATTAAACCACAGAGGTGCTATCTGCTAAGTGACTTTTTGTGTTCTCTTTGGGAACAAACTTGTGTTTAACAGTTTGCAAGTGGCTGACACTCATAGCAGTGGGGTTCCTGCAGCCAGAGTGTTTTCTGTGTGCGTTACTGGTGCAAACACAGTGAGCCCATAGGTTTTGTGTAACCCATATAGTATTGCACATCAACTTCAAGCTCCAGTTGCTAGAAAGTACTGAAATACACCACCAGCCACAATATATATTGCCTCTGCTGCATTGTGGCTTCATGGTCTGCCACTAGTTATATTTAGCTGCCGTGTTTGTTGTAGGCTTTCATAATTCCCATTTTATTTTTGAGATTTGTCTGTTATTGGTCAGAAACGCTTGATTTACAGGCTGTATTGGGTTGGCAACCTTTTACTGCTGCACCTTCTACTGCCACATCTGTATCACAGGATAGGGATCTTGTCTCCCTTTCAGGGTTTTGGTGCCTTACCTAATGTAGCCAGGAGAGGCCTCCCTCTACATAAGATTCACAGCACTTGAGCTCTCATATGACTGCTTAGTGGCACAAGTAGACTGTGATAACGGGCGAAAAGAAAAAAACAAACCAAGAACTGGAGCCGTCCTTGTTAAGGCTTTCCTCTGGAGGAAAGGCTGCTACTTCCACTAAGAGCATCCGGGCTGTATCACTCAGGCAGGTGTGACATTACAAATGGTGCATA